TTACATATTGCATTATTGCATATATTCCCATCTTACTAATAATAATTGATTTGATGATTGAATACAATGATATTTGATTATTAATCATCCAGAAACTATCGTACAATTTGCATATAGTTTGTTACGAATATTTGGTATGGCAATTACTCGAAAGACCCAACAAAATGTCTTCAATAACGAAAAGACATACATACTTGTATGTATCACAGTTGTTATTCAATTTTGGACATCTTGTACTGCTCTAATTTTCACTGGAGGTCGGAAAACTTTTAGAGATTGGTTTTCATTGTGCATTCATATTGTCATGAGATAATCCAGGATATGTTTTTAATGGGAATCCATCAGTGCATTGTACAAACTAAACGGGCATATTCTTCAACTATACAATCCATTATTGGTAGAACGAGCAGTTTTCTCCTTTCTCTGCTAGAATCGGTGTTCGACAGATTATTGTAATCGCTTGGATAGGCACAACGAGTAGGAATTTCTATATTTTCGTCTAAATGTCAATAGCGTATCCCTCATATCTAACACAAATCCCTAAGAAGCTACAATGTCAAGTACCAAGATGAAATAGACCATACTCATATATTTTCATAGGTAAAAAATAAATCTTCATACTTGTTTATCACGTGAACAATTTTTTATGAATTCGACAGTTTCAGAGTTATAGAAACGACAGACATTCGATCGCACGCGCAAAACAACGTATGAACGTCACATATGAAGTTACACGTGGCGTATTTCTACATGTGAATACTCTTGTACACTTTTGAATATATTCCAACTTTGGGAAACAAAATATAAAGTGGTTTTTCGGCGGGCAAATTTCTGTGGCTTGTATTTCCCACGGGCTTTCTAGCAACAGTTAGATATTATAAAACAGTTGCTTCAGCTCCGAAAATTAGTTATGAAACCGTTACCAAATAAGACCTTCTACCAGACCTAAGTAAAAATAAAGATTATGGGGGCTTACTGAACTCTATAGTAATTCGGGATCGATATTGAAAAGACAGCAAAACTTGCTGATATAAATTCTGCTAAAGTTCTATTTTATCAGATTGGCTTCTAGAGTTTCATTTATGGGACTCAAAACAGAAACTTCAACAATTTGAGGACGAAGCGACCAAAAACTGAATAGGGCAGTTGGCGGTTTATCATTGAAACACGTTTGGGATGGAATTGTCAGATATGCTCAAGAGATCCGAAAAGAGAGAAGAAACTGCCACTAAAGATTTTTCGAACTATAAATTTTTATATTTCGGAATATATAGGTAATGATGGAAATATATCGACCTGAAAACGATATTTTTATAGCATGTTGTCTACACGAAAATAATAAATCCGCTTTTGAATACTTGCATTTAATAGGTATTCATATTAATGAGAAATCTATATAACAAACAAAATATATAGATTAGGTTTCGAATAATGGCATGGTCTATCATCGGGGTTGTATTCTTACTTTTCACTAACCTTAATAATGACTCTTTTGATTCTCATTCAAACCTCCTCTTGAACATTCACTGACGATGTCCCTGATGTTATATCTGATGTTTCTAATTTCATTTCTTTCACTGAGTATAGAACATAAACCGACTTCAGTTTAGGTAGGTCCTCTTCATATATCTCAAACGTTGGCAGATGATGCTACCTCATATACTACATTCTAATGACTTAGTTAATAGAACGAAGTAATGTTAAAAATAAGAAAAATCAATAATGCATATGAAATTCAAAAATATATAAACGCTAATTTCAATACAAAGCCAATTATTTACCTGAAATAAAAATGAATTGATTAATGGGTAACTGCAACTGAAAAGTCAATAACATGCAATTTGAAAAAAATTAAATACGATCTGAATGGAGAAAAGTGTTTCTTATATAGTTTAATGGTATTAAAAAAGTAGTTGTTTCGAATGTATTTTTTTCTTTTGTGTAATTCAATGTTTGATTATATGAAGGTAGTTGTTTGGGAAAAGGGCTCTTCCTTCCAGATTGTGCCTGGGAGTTACTTCTTTACATAATTATTTACTTTACTTTACATACTAATTACTTTAGTTCCCAACGAAAAAAAATTATGAATCTAATGAAGATAGATAAAGAGGAGATGAATTGTGATGAAACTATTTATAGGTGATTAGATTCCTCTTGGTTTTCTGGTTCGTTGCAACGTAGCCAGTTTTCTCGCTCAATTAGAGGTTTCCATGCATTGCGTATCTTCACATCAGCCTAACTAAATGTGTGAATGTTATGTTGGTAAATCCAAACATGCTTCGCTATTTCCGATTTACCTATTACTCCCCGCTTGGTGTTTTTCTTGTTCTTGTCAATACGGACTCCCAACGGCCTCTGGTTATTACCAATAAAATACTTAGCACATGTGGTGTTGGGTAAATGGGTCGTTCTTCTTTTGAACCTACAAAAAGGTATGTCCACCAGTAAGTGTAAAAGAAACAGGGAAAATACCATTATTATTTCTTAATTGCATTTCAACAAGCACTGTACAGAACACATAATGGCTATGCACGATTGAATAATATATATATAATGAATAATTCCATTTGTAAAAAGTACGTTACAGAGTTTTCAATCCGCGTGACAGAAGTGTATTCTATACAAATCGCAGTGGTCTCCCGCTATCTCCCTAATATTACGAAAGAATTATATGATGAGATTGAAGGTTTAGACCCCCCTTCCGCCCTTGGTATGATTTTTCCCTCTGAGATCAACAGACAGCGTATCGGTTGCCCGAAGTCTGTGATAGGAGTTGCGTGTGTTTATTCGGATACCGCTTTGTCACGTAAGTGATTTGTTCAAAATGTAATTATTAGTGTTTCTTTTCTTTGTCTACTCTTACGTAATAAGAAATATTTTTTGATAGTGAATTATATATTTTACGTAAAGTTTTGAATGTTATTGACTTTGCAACAAATTTTTATCCCTCCGCCACATGACAACTTCGTCACGTGTTTATTGTGACGAAGTGTAAATTACGTTACGGAGGGTTGAAATAAACGATGTAATATTTATGCTGAATTCGAGTAATACTCAAATAGATACACTAGTAATCAGGGTAATTATTCTTACGGAAAGTGTTACAAATATTTAAGTGAGAATTATGCCTAACAGAATCAAGTCCAGTTTCACGATTTCGGTGGTTCTCGTAATCAAATCACCCTGCATACAGCAGTCATGTACTATTTTCCAGCAAAAGTACAGACAAAACAGATACTTCGTACTGTACACTAATCCAATCAGAACATGGAGCTTCTACGATTTAGGCTCCCCTTCATCCAATTCTGTTAGAATAGAAAGAGAAACATCCTTCTGTAACAATTGTTCACTTCTCCTCTGATGGATCTGCAACCCAGTATAAGAAAAAAAGTAACTTTCACCTAATGGTAAACAGATTCTTCGAAGAATACGGGTTTCGCAAAATATCCTAGAACTTCTTTGAATCAGGGCATGGAAGAGGATCTGCTGATAGTATTGGAGGGACAATGAAGAGCCCGACAAGGCTCTATGGTCTTCCGAAGATACATAAAAAAAGTTCCGTTGAGACTCATAGTGAGTGCACCGGGTTTGCCTACGTATTACTTGTCAAAACACCTCGTATCGCTCCTCCAGCCTCATGTTGAAAAAACAATCTCGTACTTCAAGGATTCGACAGACTTTGTGTGAAAAATTGAGAATATAACCTTGTAACCGATATGAACAAGGACATGAAACTGAAGACTTCCAAAAGTCAAAACAGGGAGGAAACTCAAACAGTTGTACGTGCATTTCTACCGTACATACCCAGGGTTACAGACAGAATTGGAAAAATCTCAGGAAAGCATAAAATAAAAACAGTGTTCAATTCCACTCGGAAAATACAACAAAACCTTAGATCTGCGAAAAACAAAAGGGATCCATTATCAGCTGCGGGGTATATCGTATATTATGCAACTGCGGAAAAGTTTATATTGATACCACCAAAAGATCTGTGTGTACAAGGCTGAATTAACATCGGAGAAACTGTGAATTAGGTCAAGTAGAGAAATCGGCAGTAGTGGATCACGCGCTTAGTGCCTTCGATCATAGATACCACAGTCAGCTCGTACGGAAAGCCATATAAATCCATAAACACACAGAGAACTACAACAGAAAAGAGGAGGCGGTAACGCTTAACTGGATTTGGAATCCCATACTTAAAGATGATAAACTGGCAACAGCGCAATGCAATGTAACGGCTCTTAGAGACGACAGGTCACTCGAGTCCGGTCAAGTCAAGTATTGATACTGTAACCAATAACAACCCGCTAACAGGTACGGCGAGGTGAACTACTTGAGTCAACATAAATGCAAATAAATACATGAATAAATACAAACTAGAAATCACCCGTCATCGGTGAGTCATCGAGATGAATAAACCTCGGAAGAACCCAACCACTCGTGCTGGCGAAACGTTAGGACGAAGTTCCAAACTACGACGGCTTTTAAATTCGAATGAAAATAATAACACTGACAATTTTGGCCGCGAAAGCCTTAACTAATTTTTCAATATCAATTGTATTAAACGGTAATATAATGGAATGAAACTACAATTAAACGAATTAAATAATCAAGATACAAGATGAAAATGATCACAGTTCCTTCTTGAGAGCTTCTTCCATATTACAGAGCTCGAAAGCATGATCCGCAAGAGTTTTGAAGATTTCTGCTTTGGTAGATTGATAGTGGTTGGATTCCTGACGCAGATACTGTCCCGTGTGAGTGGATTTTCGGTATACGGATGTTTCTCACTTAGTGATGAGAATCCATTTAAGTGGCACTTTATTGAGATATTTTCACTGAGTCGTTTACAAAACTGAAGCACGTGTTGCGGTTTTGTGAACTATTCAGTGAAAATATCAATGAAGTGTTACTTGAATAGATTAAAAAATTGAATAATTGAAATTTCCACAACATTCTTTATTATTAATTATATTGAGTTATCAAGTTGTCAAAATCACATTTTTATTTAGAAAGTGTTAATGTACGTAAAATCACATCTACTTCCATTCGATCACAACAGTTTTCCATAACATGAAAACTGCCAAGTAAGTAAATACCTATAATTGAAATATATCATATAAGGTAGGGATCAGAAATAATAATCAAACATCCATAACGCATCTCAATACAAAAGACATGTGAATAAAAACACGAAATATTTTTCAACAAATGTAACGACTGTCTAATAAATACATCTAGTGCTACACCCTTCTTGGGGTAATATATCACTTTTGAAATAAAAATATATTACAAAGCCTTTAACATTCAAGATCCAAGAGATGTTTTGACATATTCATAAAAGTATGGATCAATGTTCATGTTTATATCGTGTTACCGTGTTAGGAATCACACGTTAACAGGTAAGACCTCGTTAGTCCTTAGCTCGCACAAGTTTTCCAACTTCTGAGAGTTATCGTTCGTATGGGGGCGACAGCTGATTAACGGTAAAACAGATTTCAAACAGACAGATATCAGATAAAATCTATGTGAAATAATTTCAGTAACCCGCATGATTATTTGCCCATTTCGTAACAGATATATTGACCATTTGACAGTTTCATTAGGAATAATGTGTCGGCGTTTCTTTTTTAAACTGATGTGCTGAAGTGTCATAAAATTTGGAGTAATAATATGTACATTTTTCTGTTTCAGTAACGACATTTTTGATGTATACTCTATCAAAAACAGAAACAGGCAAGCAAAGGTATACTGGAATATTCCAACATTTCAATGTGATTCTCAAAAATTAAATTTCACCCGATTAGCTGAAAAGTATGCAATTGTTCACAATGCGAATGACATGTTTCGTGGAGACAAAATTACAATTTTGTACGATCCTGGTTCGTTTCCAGCAATTTTGAAAGACGGTTCTAAAACTTTTTTAAGAAATGGAGGTGTACCACAGAAAGGAAATTTGACAAAGCATTTGGAGATATTTAGAGCGCTCTTGAAAGAGTTAATACCAGATGAAAATTTTTCAGGTAAGTAAACCTTTTCCTTGAAACATTTTGATATGAAAAGTTTAACAACACGGGGATAATCAGGAACCTATAATTTTATCGCTGAACAGAAAAAATACCGAACGTTTTGATCTCACACTATCAAAAAACTATTATAATATCTATGCAGTCATTGTTCACTGTGGTTCTGGCGTTGAATTTGGTCATTACTACGTCTTGGTCAAAGATGAAACGGACTGGTTTAAGTTTGACGATAGTCGTGTCACGAAGTGTTCTGGCGATGCATTGAATTTATTGGAGCCTCTGGAGACACCCTACATTTTGTTTTATAAGAGAGAGGACATTGTTAGATCAAGATCTTCAGATGATGTGGTGCTGCAGGTTTTTCCTGCAGCTGAAAAAGCAAATGCGCCACAGGAATCAATGAAGTCGCCCCGGAGCGCAAATTAATTTTTATTGTTGTTTTCATTTTATTTTTATCGTTGTTTTAAACAAAATCTGATTTCGTATTGCAATGAAAAATTGTATAGATAAAATTCATGTAACTAGTTGACTCGTTTTGATCATTTTTGAATCACCTGAAAACTCAACGAGTTAAGGAGTATCACTGACTCTCATCAGAGCGACTAAAATTCAAATAATGACACTTATTTTTTTAATAATCATTGAACTATTAAAAATCAAATACCAAATTATATGAGAGATGAAACTGAAGTCACTGGAGTGAAATAAATCCAAAACAAGCACTTTTCTTAAATACCAGAACTTTTTTTGAAGGATCGGGAGGAACGTCAGTTTAATTAACTAGTATTTCATTTTGATGTGTATTATTTGTACTGGTTTTCATTTATGCACTTCAACTTTATCATTCCAATTAAGAGTTCAGAAACACTGACCTTTCTTTTAAAATATTGTTGAACCGTTGTCGATATGCCCCAACACTTGTCAGCACGTTGCAATGTCGGAAATGCGATGAGGGCGGTAACAAAAGTGAAATTGAATTGAGTTTAAGGTACTTTGTGACTTCATATTGAACATCTCAAAAACGTTATAGAACTGGCCGACACGTGATTAAAATACATATCAATAAGAACTGCTACTGCAAGATTTTCACTATAAAAGTTTTTCAAAAAATGAGATAGGTATGTGTTTTGTTGTTATAGCTTATTTTGCTTGAGGAAGCTATTGTATAGCGAAACAAGTGCCGCGATTTTGGTAAAACCCTTATGGTAAAATCTTGTAATAAATTTTTGGTTATTGTATATTGAAAGGTAAGACCTCGTTAGTCCTTAGCTCGCACAAGTTCCTCAATTTCTAGGAGTCGTCGTTTGTATGGGGGCGACAGCTGATTAACGGAAAAACAGATTTTCAAACAGTGAAATTGTCTCATCGATTAAACACTAACAGTTGTTCGTAGTTGTGAGTAAAATGTCACACTGGTGAATGCTGTTTCAGAAAGTGTTGTAGAACACGGGGGATAGTTCTGACCTTGCCGCAAGATGGTGTCAATTGTCAATATTTCTAATATTTTCAGTCATCAATTGACATATGGTGATAAAGGTGAGACAAGTTTTCTCATCCAATAAAACTACTTGAAAATACTTATCATATGATGTGGAATGTATTGACATTTTCTTAAATTTTATAACCTTAATCAACCAAAGATGTTATCGGTCTTGGCTCTGAAACGTCATTTAGTTGAATCATAGTGGAATTTCAAATTCTAGTTGCTGTTATTGAATTAGCACCGTCACCGAATCAAAGCTTGATACAAATTGACACCAGGCAGCATTACAATCTTTCTGATCCAGAGTTGAAATCCAACATTGTAGTCCAGAATATTAGTTAGGACCTGCCGTCGTCGTTGTCACAAATACTCATCAACTATTCACTTTGAATATTCCAAACTGAATGTTAACGTTTGATATACTAAGCTCATATAGAAGACCAGGGGCAGTCTCGGGGACTGCTTGGAGTTTGTTCCATGTTCCAGGTCATATGGTATGCACATAGCTCAAAGTCATGATATGTAGTCCAACGTCAAACCTCACGGTCATATGATCTCACACATAGGTGAAGGTCGTGCACGTCATTCAATGTGAAGGTCGAGTGGAAGGGAGGCATCCTCATCCATCCTAAGTACACTACTTAAATTGAAGTAGTAACAGTTCCACTAGTTCAGAAACACAAATTCGTCCCTTATAATTCATTATAGACCAGTTCAAACATCAGTTGCAAACCCATTAGGAAAACTATTATTGTATTAACGTCATAGAAACAAATGTTTATAAAGCCACTTGAAGATGCTCCAATTTTCCTTGTAGGTGTTCCGGTTCACATATTCTACGGCCAAGTTTCGTCGCTTTTGACTTGGACGGTGTTCGAAAGTGCATGCAGGTGTCCGTATGTGTCGGTTTTTGGTATACTTTATGTGTCAGTCGTGTGCCCCACCTTTCGACGAGTACGTCTAGAAAATCTGAAATGTGAAAAAATGAGCAATCCGAAAAATCTAAAAGATTTGCTGATGATTTACTGCAGTTTCGTCCTATGTGGACATTTTTAAACCAATACAGTAATTCATTTCTTATTTTTCATGTTGAACTCCTACCGCGTAGTAACGGATACATGAATACATTTTTCACTCATTATTTTTTTATCTGACTGAGACTTCTGGTGATATAAGTGATCCTAAGGAGTTAATGAGCAGACCCGACTGTGATCACTTGATAGCTGCAAATCATGTACCAGTAAATTACACATGGACTCACGTTAATATACAGTCTAGCAAAAAATCTATGAATGGTAAATAGTTTTTCAAAACTAAAAGCGACGAAACGGGCAAAATCATCAGATTTTGAATACACTTACATTTTTGATTCATGTAATTCCATGTGGAATATAATTTAAGATCAGATGGACTTTATAAAAAATATAACTATAAATAGTCCAAACTGTTTTGACTGGCTAAATTGACTAGAAGAACGTGTTTTCTCAGTGACACCTTACCGTCAAAACTCAGTTTTTGCCATTAGATTTAACAACAATGAAATTCGTCAAAGTTGTTGTACCTTGATTAAGTAAGATGTGAATGCATCTGGTTTTCAAACAAAAATTATAATTTTTAGGTATCGGGATCATCGACTTTGAAAGCTGGAGGCCCATATTTAGACAAAACTTTGGCGTATTATCTGAATATAAAAATCTCTCTATTTCGATAGAAAAACGGAGACATCCTTTCTGGCCATCTGTTTGGATTGAAAAGGAAGCCACTAATCGATTCGAAACTTTTGCAAAAAAGTTCATGGAACAAACTTTGTCAGCTGCGAGAATAATCAGACCCAACGCTACATGGGGATATTATGCGTATCCTTATTGCTTCAACATGTCCCCCAATAATATGCAACAAAAATGTCCTAAAGAAGTTATAGAGGAAAATAATAGGTATTTACTGGAGAAAATAATAAATTTATTATCAAATATGTATTATAAAACGCTATCAATTAATCTACCTCAATTTTCACGGGTAACATTACAGATTTTAAAGTTATGATTGATCTTCTGGAGTAGAAACAGGTCATTCTCTTAAACTATTCGCATATTCACTTATATGATGTTAATTAATCAAGTGTTGCATCATAATCAGATGATTTTATCCAATCCATTCTGATTGATAATTTTGGACATTACCTAGTTGTTCAACTTAAATTTGGATATGAGAAAAAGAACAAGGTTCAAAGGAGATAACACTCTTGTCACTGTTCTCTGTTCATATGTTTTGTAACTTCAAGTTTGTCCCAAAATACCAAACGGTTTTATCTCGTCTGCCTAAGAATGTCAAAACAAAATTTTCAGGTTATCTTGTCCTTTAGGTTGCCTAACAGCTATAATGTTGATGAGATTTTTCCAAAACTACTTTTACGTAAAGCTTTTCAAAAATCCAGTTAGATCTCATAGTGTATAGTGATACATACGAAATAACAACGAACTATATGTTTTCTTTTGAAATCTACATTTCTTATTACACCTATCAACTGAATAACTATAAGATATATTATTATGGCCTATATGTTTAATTATATCAATTTCCCTAGCTAGATTGTTACTAGACAAAGGCAGTAAGATTGCTCTGTGTAACATTGAAATGTAAGCTAGATTTTCTGAAAATATTGAACTCAAATTTATTCTGATTATATGTAATGGTCAGATCTGAGAAATTTATCTTTTTCTCTATCTCTGTTTCGAGTATGAACTGAATGTTGCTATTGAGATTATTCATAAATGTCATAAATTGGTTCAGCTCGCCTCTAAAATAGGCGAGAATGTCGTCTACATATCTGTACCAAAGATGAATATTTTTTTACCCAGGTCGGAATTTACTATAGTGGTATCCAAGATGTTCATGAAGTTGTCTTATGAAAGTGGACTGAAGGGTGAGCCAATTGGTAAACCTGAATCCTGAAAATGGGTAACGTATTATGGTAAAAGAACAGAGATAATTGCGGGTTTCTTTAGAAGAAATAATATGGAAGTGGCATTCAGACCACAAGCCAGGTTATCTGATTTCATTTTCAATGCCAAAGATAAAGTGGACAAGTTGGAAAAATCTGGAGTTTGTAAGTTTAAGTGTCTGAAGTGTAATGGTGTTTATGTGGAACAATGTGGTCGAAACTGCCAAAAATAGTATTTTGAACATGAAAGGTCCTTCAGACCAGGTAAAAATGATTCGACGTTTTTGGCATGCAACTACAAGTTCCCGAATCTAAACGATACTGAAGTTTTGCACTATGCAAGGTAGGGTTGCAAACTCAATTATTTGGAATACTTGGAAATTCATTATCATAAACATTGCCTAATAAATGATCAGATCGATCTTGTTTATATGATGGAATCGACTGATACTTCATGAAAATCCATAACTGACGTATTCAAAAAACACTTTATTGTGAGATATTGTCTAAACTCACAATACTTTCGATCTAGTTTACTCACCGGTTTTCGAATTAGAATATCCATATTGTCACAAGTAAACAAAATTCAGGTACTCAATTGAGCTGAGTACTTACCTCTATTATCACCTACAGTGGTGTTACAAAGGGTGTTTCAAATTCGATCCTCACCAATGGGATCTCGGAAACTATGAAAGATACGAAGATAGTTAAATTGGGACAAATTTGCGCATTTACCTGACTAACAATATGCCGTACTGAAATTCTGAGTACCTATATCCGGAGACATCAGAAATTTCGGAAAATGGTTTTATTTTTTCTCGTTTTTTTTGAAGGATTCGAAAATAAATTGCACTTTCACATTGCCACTTTTTACCTTCTATATATTGGTGTTTTCAGATTTGCTATCCGACGTGTCGTGTTCCGGTCACCATCATCAACTTCATTTTTTCTTATAGGCGCCACATTGCATTCTGTCTGTTTTGAATAGAACCAGATTTTACTTTTTCAATGATATATCATAAGTTATCATTCTTTTTCGAAAAATTGGAACTATTGAAAAAAATTAATTCTTGTCATAATACGCTTTGACTTTATTACAAATACGATAGTATTAGGACATCGGAAATGTATTTAAACTTGTATCCCGAAAGACGACAACCACATTGAACTATATATGGTCAAGTTATTGGATCAAAATCTCACCGAGTTTGGTTCATTTGAAAAACCGAGGAAAAAATACGGAGACAGAATGGACCAGGAAACTAAAGAAAATTTGATAAATGATGTATGTATGAGGTTAGTTAGACACTGTGTTCTTTTCAATAAAAATTAATAATTTGCAGATAAACATGAACCCGGGGAAATCTGCACGTCAAATTTCCTCCGAAATGCTTCAAAAAAAAGCGGTTTAAAATGTTACAAAATACACATATCTCAAAAATTGCATCTAGGTGATCCCAAAAGGCGGAAAATGTAATTTGGATAGATGAAAACACTTTTACGAATTATGGGATATTCAATCGAAATAACGAACACATTTGGAGCATGAACAACCCCAGGCAGTTCCGAGAAATTCGACCTCAAGTTCGATTTAGCATTAACGTGTGGTCAGGAATTTACAAAGATAGAATTTTGGGTCCTCATTTATTTGAAGGAATTCTGAATGGAGAAACTATCATTAGTTGATTAGTTGATTTTCGGAGACTATTTGGATGATCTACCTTCAGCTAACTATAGCAATATCTGCTTCAACATGATGGTGCTTCAACGCACACTACCAAATGAGTATATAATTACCTGACTGAAAGGTTTGGTGATAAATGGATAGGGAATAATGGGCCGGTGAGGTGGCCAGCAAGGTATCCAGACTTGAATGTTATGGATACATTCTTATGGGTACACTGAAAAATATAGTTTATGGTCAGAGGGAATATCAAAATATTGAGGATTTTCAACGTAGCATTGTTAGAAGGTTCGGAAGATTGAGGAGGGAAATTAATCGTGCAGTGAATAATATTCGAAAAAAGGCACAGTTGTGTTATCATGAACTTTAGTCTTTACATTTTAGTTGATTATTGTTATTGAAAAGGACACAATGTCTAATTAACCTCATTCATCAAATTTTGATAGTTGATTCTGTATCCGCATTTTTTCATTGGCTTTTCAAACGAACTAAACTCGGTGAGATTTTGATCCAATAACTGAAGATAGTTTGATGTGGTTGTCGTCTTTTGGAATACAAGTTTAAATACATTTTCGATGTTTTAACACTGTTTCTATTGTGTTTTGAATATAAATTCGTATCATATCTCTTTTTTCTTCATTCGTGAAAGCTAAAATTCAATGACTTGAACAATAACAAAATGTCATTGAGTGTAACAAATTGAAAGTCAAATTTAGAAACATCAAAGTCAAAGCCTATTATGATAAGAATAATTTTTTTCAATATCTCCAATTTTTGGAAAAAAAACTTATCATTGAAAAGGTAAAATCTGGTTCTATTCAAAACAGAAAGAATGCAATGTAGCGCCCATAAGAAAAAATAAAGTTGATGATGGTGGCCGGAAAACGAAATGTCGGAGAACAAATTTTAAAACACCATTATGTCTCAAGGGAAAAGTGGCAATGTGAAAATGCAATTCCTTTTGGAATCCTTCGAAAAATAAATCCAGAAAAAAACAAAAACCATTTTCCGAAATTTCTGTTTTTTTTTCGGATATCTCAGGATATACTCGGAATTTCAGAACTTTCTCAAAGGCATATTGTTAGTCAATTTAACCATCTTTATATCTCTCATAGTTTCCGAGATCCCAATGGCGAGGATCGGATTTGAAACACCCTGTATAAGGGCTAATATCAATAATTTTCAGTTAAATGTATGAGTTTTAGAATATCCTTATAGGATGAAACTGCATTAATGTTAGTCAGAAAAAAAGTGGTGCAAAACATAGAAACATAGAAAACATAGGCACCCCTCAAACTTGACTGGATTTGGAATCCC